CTACTCTTACACTATTCTTACACTACTCTTACACTACTCTTACACTATTCTTACACTACTCTTACACTACTCTTACACTACTCTTACACTACTCTTACAGTACTCTTACACTATTCTTACACTACTAAAAAGTAATTTTCCTCCATGCTGAAAAAACTAGATTTTTTCTAAATATCGTGATTTAATACATAATTATTCTGTTTCAGGCATAAACTTCAAATTCTCTAGCAGGAGACTGAACGTGAACAGAACGTAGAAAAATCTATCGAAATCGTTTAAATATTTATTGCTTACTAACATGTGACAATGTTGCCATCCTTATCTATGAAGAAAACGGACTTAACATGATAGATATTTTGTTTAGCTTTTAAATTATCTTGTACTTGATAGCTTCATGGAATTGTGAAATAATTTCTCTGTGAAATTTAGAAAAATTTAGTTCGTGTATTAGAGAAAATAGGATGTTTGGAGCCTGTCCCACCAAATTGTAAATTGATTACAATCCAACGTGTAAAATATGTGATGGAGTTATCGGATTTGGTTCCCTTATCTGAGTGACGTCATTTTAAGCTATCTGAACCTCTATCAGCCAGTGGTGGGACAAGCCCTTAGATTTATTTAATTAGGGTATCTTTGGCAATAATTTGTCCGTAGGAAATTAGAACTTTTTGTGTGTTGATTGTTGTAAATGTTTCACTTTCAGTTACGATTACGTATATATATCTGACCACTTTTAAAATCTGTTGTAAATTGCTTATAAATATGAAATAAATAAAATTACTCGCTTTAAATTGAACCATAAAAGAGATATATTAAAAGTTAGATCTGGATGATTTTTAATATTAAAAAAAGTTGTTTGTACGCATTGTTAAGAAATGTTTATATTTATAACTTTAATCGTAACAATTCCCACTTAAAACAATGTACTAAAAAGTGAAAAATAATGTGCGTAACCTGGATTATTGCCTAACTAGTGACGTGACATTGTGACCTGACACACTGTGACTTGGAGTGTCCCATTGTGACCTGACGTGTCACATTTTGACTAGACATGTCTAATTGTCACCTGAAGTGTAACATTATGACTTAACGTGTCTAATTGTCACCTGAAGTGTCACATTTTGACGTGTCTCAATGTGATCTGAAGTGTCGCACTGTGACTTGAAGTGTCTCATTATGACCTAATGTCATAAAACGACAATTAACGTCAGTATGATGTGTTGGGCGTTGTTAGGGCTGTGAATATGTAAAGTTTTGCTTCTTTTAATGCGCTCGATGGATGAATTAAAATTATTGTGTAACTTATTTTATATAAATATACTTTTTTTAGCCAAAAGTCACATTTCTGTAGTTACTTTAATGTAGTTCTCAGACTATATATGAATTATAGTTTAGTTTGTTTATTAGTCTGAGATTTCTTTTACTAATGTATTTTTTTTAGTGTGACAATGGATTATGTATTAATTTTGATATTTAACGGAATACGCTTAAGGTTGAGTTTACGCCGAGTGCGAGTTTTGTTTTATTTTTAAATCTTGTGCAATTCTCGTGGCCTTACGTCCTTGCTTTTTTTTAAGCCTCCAGCAATGTACGTTCTATAAAAAATTGTCATGTTTCATATAGCATAGGACTAGATTTAGTTTTTGTTTAATATGTCGATTTAGTTTTTATTGACGAATGTATATTGAATTTCTTATGGAAATGCAACGAATTATTTGTAAAATTTTAGCTGCGGTCGCTTGCATTTATAGAAATTAAAAAAATAAGCTAATAGTTTATCCAAAAATTCCAATAACGTTTTTGCTTCAAAATCTTACTAAATATTAATAAAACATGCTCCAATTAGTGTTAGAATTAAAATTCACTGTTAGTTTAAAAAATGCTCGCGACAGCATCTTGTCACTTTTCCTAAAATTGTACCGATAGCAATAAAAAAGCGAACTCAATTATTTGTTTTAAAAGTACAGCCAGCAAACATTCTTGTGGCATTAACCGTGATTTACGAACAAATGTAAACAGTTAATAACACGTTATTTATAGCGTGTGGGCAATTGCTATAAGTAACTGGTAACTCGTTATTTAGTGAAATCATTTATCGACTTTCTGTATTACATATAAAAATCTGTTGTACTAATTTTCAGCATTATACATAGATAAAAAACTATTCGTAGTAAATATATCTTTTGTAGTTAGACGACTAGAGAAAGTTTGAAGCCGGCAGTCGCTGGCTGTTTTAGTTTGTTACGAGCGCGGGAAAGCGCGGAGTATTGTTAACACATTTATCTATGATTGTTCTTGTATATATTCAATCATTAAAGTTGTTGATATTTCAAATATTACTTTTATTTACTTTACCTTTCTTTTTAGTTTCATAAGACAAAGCAACAGCAAACATACAATTCAAGGGAAGTCACCCCTATTTTGGCGTATTTAAATGGTCCAAAGCCAAACTATAAGAAATATATAGATTAGGCATAATGTACAAAATTGTTTTACCGGTACTTTCTCTGAAGTTTCAGTTGCCAAAAAATTTTGTTCACTATGCAGGCATAGTGTCACGTTTTTTTCCGGACCCTAGTCCGGCGTCCGGAAAAGACGTACAATCGACTACCATAAATTCCTCGTTCGATAATATAACGATTTGACGCATTACCTCATTAAAATTGTAAAATAAATAAACTTTTTAATAAAAAACAAAACCGACTTCCAACCAAAATACACTAAAAACAAAATATTCTCATAAAACCAGTGCACTAAAAAGAAATGAAATGATTCATTGAAAATAATTAACCTCCCTTATTGTAGCTGTTATGTATATATTGTACAATAATTGTTACTTTGAAGTCGGTGTCAGTCAATGTAGAACGAGAACTGCACGCGAATGAAGTCGCAGGCAACAGCTAGTTTTATAATATAGGGTAATTCTTAACGGACTGATCTATGGAAGTAAGGGACCTCAATAACTATCTTGTAA